GATGCGACCTGACCCCAGTGTGAGGGACAGGTCATTTCCAGGCAGAAAGGAGTCCGAGCTACTTGGAACCGCGAATGCTCAGCTGAGAGGGTTGGACTTCCTCCTGGGCGTGCTAGGGAGCCCCAAGGGCTGTGACAGGAAAGGGCAAGAGCAGGCCTGGAACCCAGGCAAACCAGCAAGGGGAAGGACTGGAAGCCGGAAGGTAGGACACAGGGTCCACAGGGAGAGGGCCAGGTCTGAGCTGGACCCAGGACTATTAAGAAACTTGAAGCCCAGTGTCTTCTTCCTGCACATTTCCCAACCAAGACCCCCTTCCCTAACCAGAGTCAGAAGAAAGGCAAATTTTTTTTATTTTGTGTCTTTTGTTGTTGTTGTTGTTGTTCCTGGAGATTGAAATCAGGACCTTGTGAGGCAAGCAGGACTCCAATGAGCTAAATCCCCAGCCCTTATTTCAATTTTAGAATTCATCGGTCTCTTCTCTATTTCCAAGAACAGGGAAACACTCTGGCTAAGAAGGCACCGATAGAAGGGGCATGGACACCATCAGTTGCTGAGGAAAAAGAGAATAAGGATTCAGGACCCAAAAATCCAGCCCCAGCCCCTCCATTTCCAGACCCAGGGTTCCAGGCCCCAAAGTCCCAGGCCCCTGGCCCCTCTGCAGGGACCTTTCGCTTCCGGTGGAAGGCTGCCTTGCTCTCCTCCGCATTGATCCGCAGGGGGATGTAGGCGTCCAGGTGATACAGCTGCTGGGAGCCCCCCATCACCAGACGGTTCTCCCCAACCTCCAGCGACAGCCCCAGGGCTCCATCCTGGAAATGTGGTGGACTCAGCCCTGCTCAGCGCAGACCAGGCCGGGTGGCCTCGCGTGTGGAAAACGTGTTATTGGAGGGCACAGTGCGCAGGAGGCCCTGGGCTCCGACCCCCAACCCCCAGACCCACCTCCACCCAGCCCACGCACCAGTTTGGGGAGGTCAATTTCAGCCAAGAGGAGGTCGGGGGCTTCCAGCCAAAGATTCAGGTGCGGCTTCTCAGGGCTGAGGAGGGAGGAGGACAGGATGAAGGGCTGAGGACGCAGGAAGGTCCTGGGCAGCAGCGTCCCTTCCGCTCTACCCAGCGCGGGCCACAGGAGGCTCCTGAATCAGGGGTTCTGTCTCCGCAGCTGGGAGGATCAAGAGAGGGTTCAGATGAGCACTGGGAGTCCTTAGGGCTCCCCGAAGGCTCACCCTCCCTCAGGCCCCTGGGGGCCAGGCACGTGCACGTTCCCCAGCTCCTGGATCCGAGGACGCTGCTTGGGGCGGATGTTCTGCTGTGAGATGGAGCCCAGGAAAGTCCGGTTCTTCAACATGCGCCATTCTGAGGGGAAAGAGGCCAAGGCCACGCGGGTCAGGTCCTCCTGGCTCTCGGGAAGTCCGGAGGAGAGAAATTCAGGAGAGGCTCCGGCCCCTCCCTAAACACCCGGGTTTGACCACGCCCCCAGCAAGGTTCGATGAAGCCACGCCCGTTTACCTCCAGGAGCTGACCCTGGCTCCGCCCCCACCTAGACGCTCGCTCTCCAGCCCACCCTTCACTCTGCGTAAACCCCTCACACCCCTGGAATCCACAGCCTCCACAAAACAGGAAAATCCTTGCCCACACTATCCCGTCTTCCAAGGGTGGCCCCCAAACCAGACTCCACTCTTGCCTGAAGGCCCAGGCCTCAACTCTCACCGGGATTCAGCTGCAAGCTGTACTTGTCCTCAAGGCCCTCCCTGGCGATGGTGACCACAAGCTCCCGCAAGAAATCGCTGTTCTATGGAAAGAGGCAGACGGGCGGTCCTGGAGGCCTGGAGATCTGGAGGGAGAGGCCCCGCTCAGGCCTCACCAGAGCCCCGCCCCACCTGCATCCTCCGGTAGAAGTCACTGTTGACAGCTACGTCGTAGGCGGTACAGCCCTGGCCTTCTGTGGGGAGAAACAGCCAGTGAGACCCCACCCTCCACAGGAAGCCATCCAGGCATAGCAGCCCCGTGAACTGGAGACCCTGGGAAGTGACAAGCTCAAAACAACACTTTCCGGTCCACTCGGACCAGCGTCCGCACAGCCTGCAGCCTCTCCCCTCTTGCCCAGGTAGCCACGTCCCCAAGGCCTCCCGTCATGAATCCCCCTGGCCTGGCTTTTGGAGGCTGAGTGTGGGGTATGACTCCAGCCTCTGAAGAGAAGCTTCCTTATCCTCAAGCAATGTCACCCCGCAGCCCGGAATTTACCTCAGTGGTTCTGGCGCCTGCTTCAAAAGTGCAAGGACCCAAGTTCGATCCCCGGTACCAGGAAAAAAAAAACAAACTTCCTAGCAACGTCACCCCTTTAAATTTCTTCCAAACAGCAGCTGTCACTGGCTGATCGCCCAATCCTTCTATCTCCACATCTGGGTCCCTCTGTCCTCTGCCAAGAACCCTCTTGTCTGTCTTTGCCTGATGAGCTCCTGTCCCTTCGGGTCTTATATCCGGCATGTCCTCCTCTAAGAAGCCAGGGGTACCGGTGAAGAGCCTCCGGGGCCACATCCTCTCCAGTGCAGCACAAATCACACCACACTGAAATAGCATCAGTGCCCTTCGCCCCCAACCCACAACTGGGAGTTTCTCAGGGACAAGATCTGGGTTTGGTAAATCCCATTTCCCAGGACACAGCCCAAAGCTTGGCCCCAGAAGGCTTCCAGAGACACGTGTGAATCGCAAAGAGATCAAGAGACACACAGAGAAAGAGGGACACACAGTGATGGAGACAAAAGGACAGAGGAGACAAGAGCATAAGAGCTGGTCACAGACTAAAGCCAGGAGATCGGGAACGAGCAAGAAGCCCTCCGCCCGGCCCTCTCCTTCCCTCTGTCCCCAGGTCGGGTAGGACGTGCCTGTTTGGCCAGGTAGGCAGAACCAAAGCTGCCAAAGGGACACGGATCAGACTGGGGGCAGATGTTTCAGGACCTGATGGAACAGGTCCCAGGCCCTGGATCCTGGGTCTTAGGGGAAAAGGAAGAAGGGGCAGACTCTGGGTCCTCTGAGGACACTGACTTGCATCCAGCTCGGCATGTGGCTCTCCCAGACTCATGGGGATTCGGAACCCAGCTTGGTCCTCCTCCAGCATTTGAAGCAGCTCATCCTCGGTCAAGTCAGCCGGAGGAGGGATGGAGGCAGAGTGACAGATGTTGATGAAAACCTTCCCTTCCAGTGAGTTGGTCTTTATGCAGAAACCTGTGGGAGGGGATTTGTCCTGACCATCTGTCCCTGTGCGTCTCCGTCGCCATCCTTCTGCCCTCCACCCTTTCCCTCTCCTGTGCTGTCCTTCTGCTGGGGCTCTGTCTCCCTGCCCCGGGGTCTCTCTGTCCCCTTTCCGCAGAGGTGTTCCCCTGTGCGAGGACCCCGACCCTCTTCCTCTCTTTGGGTGTCTGTCCTGCTTTCCACTCCACTCTCTTTCAGTCACTGTCCCTAGATCACCATCCTGGGTGTCACTTCATGCACCTGCCTCTAGGTTTCTGTCTCACTCTCGTGTCTCCTTCCACCACCCTCTCCCCCGGCTGTTTCTGTGTCTCCTCAGACTCCATCCCCCACCACCACCTCCGGGTCTCTGTTCTGCTCTCTGTGGGAGAATTCTCTCACTCTCCGGGTTTCTGTCTTTCTCACCAGGCTGAGGCTGGATCTGTGTAGATTCTGGTGTGGTTGCCTGGGCTTGCTGGAGCTCCCTGGAAGCCTGTGATGTAAAACAGCCTTTAGTTTTGGAGTCTGTACAATTAGATCCTTCTTTGGGGGAGTTTTGTGTTTGTGTGTGTGTCAGGGATTGAACTCAGAACTCAGAACCTTGCGCTTGGGAGGTAGGTGGTGGCACTGTTGAGCTAAATCCCTGGCCCAATGTTCCTCAAATGTTTATAGAGCAACTCATATATGAAAACTGTCAGTAACAGGAAAAATGAGACATTCAAGGTCCCCTCCCTCCTTCAAGGACATGAATAAACCCAAACCCACTCCCATTTCTTTCAAAGCCTAGCAAACTGAGCTAAGCAACTACAATTCCCATAGGCTTTGTTGTCACTGTAGTGCATTCTGGGAGCCGTAGTCCCATCACTAGCATCAAGGCCCCTAATAGCTAGGGACGCAGGAATCTGGGTGGTCCTACCTGCAACAGCAGCTCTTCCAACCGCGCCTTTTCATCATCCATTTTCTCCGCCTCCCTCAACTCTGGTTCCAGCAGTGTTGACCTTGACATGACCCTGGGAAACAGACCAAAGCACCTTCGATGTGGGAAACTTCCCTGGGAGCTGAACTCTGGAGCCTGCTCTCAGGCTTTTAATTGATTCCCGACACACATCTTTTTATTCGGACACCAAAATGTGGACTGAGTTTATAATTCCATTCTAGACCAGACACAGTAGTCAAATCTACGGTCAACCATCATCTCCAGACACACCGTAACTTGCTAAATGTGTAAGTGAAAGCCACACTTCCAGTCTCAGTGTGCCCGCAGCATTAGAGTAGCCAGTCTTCCTATTTAATCTCATTCATCAAGCCAACAATCATTACAGACCAATCACATCCGAAATCTGTAGCCACGCCTCTCAATTCGTCCAATCGATAAACCCTGAGATGACTACCAAATGCCACTCTTCCTGTATTCGTTAAAGCCACACTTCCGCTCGCACCTAACAACCAGTTTGGTCAGATGACAGGGCAGTCAAGGCTGCCATACTCTAAAATTTAAAATTAATGTCTATCCTAAAAGACTGACTTCTGATCTTTGAACTATCACTTCAGGGAATCCCTCTCCGAAGCTAAATCTGGATCCCTAGTAATATAAATGGATTTCGGACTAAAATTGAACTTTTTTTCTCCAATACAAAAAGAGGTGTGGAAGACACATTAATACGGCCACCCTCCTAAATTCGGAGCCTTCTTTTAACAGTGCACCCTCATTTCCAGTCTCCCCTGCCTCGTCGGTTTGAGGCATTTGCAAGCTCCAAACTACATTTCCCAGTGTCACCCTCTAGGCCTACTCCCCCGTCTGTAGTAGACTGGAGGGAGTGGGCGGGGATACACAAAATCCAGTCTCCCAGGCCACTTCTCATTGGTCCCGCCCCTTCGAGCTTGGGAGGGGTGGTGCCACCCTTCCGACCTCAAGGTTCCTCTTTGGTCAGAGCACACCGCAGTCCTTTCTGGAAGATCGTCCAGGCGAGCTATGGCGGCGACACACGAAAGACCCAGCGCCCGCGAGATCTTCTCCACTCTGGAGTACGGACCCGCGCCCGACAGCCACGCATGCGCACTGGTGAGGAGCTGCGGGGCCGGTGCTTCCCTCCTTTTCCCGGGCCTTGCGACTGTGGTTTAAACGCAAGTTCCCGTGATCCACCGCGGCAATTCGGCGGCTCCGCCCCTCTCGGTTTCAGTCTCTCCGGAGCGCTTTAGGACCCAGCGTAGGGGGAGAAATTCCCGTGAGGCTCCGCAGTGTCCTCCGCGCTCAGTCCGCTCTCGTTGTCCTTACCGCGGTGCAGCTTCTCTGTGCTGAACCCGATTCCTCAGAATCCCTCGAGGGGAGCCTGATTCCTAAAGCCCCCCCCCCCAGCCTCCGGTGATCCCTCGGGCTCCTCCGGATTCATGTGGGGCTCCGGCGACCCTCAGAGCCTCCATAGTTCTTCCCAGGCGCTTCAGAACTCCTGTGGCTCCCGCGGTGATCGGGGACTCCTAAAACACGTGGTGCTTCCTCGGGTTGCTCCCCCTTCCCTACTCTGGGGATTAAAGCGAGGCTTTGCACAAAGTTACATCCCCAGCCGTTTTTATTTTGTTTTTAATGACAGTCACAAAATCGCTAAATTCTCCAGGCTGGTCTCGAATTTGAGATCCTCCTGCCTCGGCCTTCCAGAGTGCTAGGATTGATTACAGGACATGGGCCACCACACCCCGCTCCTCGGGCCTCTTGAATGCTTATGGGACTTATGGGAACTCTCAGAATCCCAGAATATGTCAGAATTCACTGTAATTGCCTACAGCGCCGCCGAACACCCCCATGGGGAGCCCATGATTGTGGGGGTCTGTGTTGTGTTCAGCCCTACTCAAGACTCCCCAAGAGTTCCCATGATTCTTCAGGGCCCCGTGAGTCCCCCAAGTCCTCAGAACCTCCAGGGCCTTCCGTGACCCCTCGGGGGCCTCTTGGCGTCCCCATAAGTAAGTAGGCTGCTGGGATTTTGTCCTCTCCAAAGGCTCCTCCGATTCCCTTGAGGGGGACTCTGCAGGGTCCTCAGCAGTAGGTGGGAGAAGTGGGGCTTCTTTAACGGGGGGGGGGGGCAGAGCAATGGTCCAAGCAGAAGCAGGGGTGGCCAGAGCCTGGAGCAGGAGCAGTTGTGGAGATGGGGCAGAGGGGTGAGACAGGACCTGAATAAGAATTGATCTGGAGGGCTGAGGGGACTGAGGGTGTGAGAGCCTGGGCATGGCCGCAGTAGGGGGTTGGAGGTCCACACTGCTTGGACCTGTGCCTCAGGATCGTTGATCTGCAGACAAACCTAAGATTCATCAGTATAGACAGATAAAGGAACTCACCGGGTATGGTAGCACACACCTGTGATCCCAGCACTGTGTGAGCCCAGCCTGGGCCACACAGTGAGAACTGTGTCAAAAAAACCAAAAATAAATAAAATGAAAACTTCAGCCAGCTGTCATGGTGCACACCTGCACTCCCAGCCCTCTGGAGGCTAAGGCAGGAGGATCACAAGTTCTACCCCAGAGTGAGTAATTAAGCAAAACCCTGTTTCAAAGTAAAAATGGTCTGGGTTGTAGTTCAGTGTTAGATAGCTCCTGGGTTTAGTCCTCAGCCACAGTCCCCCCCCCCGAAAAAAAAGAAATGAAATTTGAGTGTGGACCTTTGCATTCTGGATCCATGGTTTTTTCCCCACTAGCAAAAGTCACAACCTCAGAGTCCCTGGGTCAGGCTCAACCAACAAACATGTTTCTTTTGGCCTGAGCTTTGTTTTTGAAAATGTCAGCTGCTGGACAATTAATTCCAAATAAATATCCAGGATTCCAGCTTCTCTTGAAAATAAAATTCCACAATGTGGCAACCTCTGGCTCCGATTCCCTGACAAAACTCATCTGGACGGAATCGTTGCTGTTGTTTTCAATTAAGTTGTAAGCTCGCAGTCCGCACAGACTCTCTGTCCCACTTACATGACCTGTGGGGACCCTGAAGACAGTCCTTTGGGATTTTTCTTTTGGGGGGGAGATTTCCCATCATCCCCAGGGTGGCTGACACTGATTATGAGCCCCACTTACCCGTGTTGACTTCAGCAGACATCAACATTTCATCCAGTATTTCCCATCCCATTTTTCTTTTTGCTTTGAGTCTTTTAAACAAATCCCAGAAATCATGTTATTTTCCAAGATGTATTTGACTATTCCTAACAGATAATGTTATACAACTGCCACTCAGTTACAACATTTCACAGCATTCACAGTCATTTTTTACCCCCGCAGGTACTGGGGATTCACCCCAGGGCTTTCCCACTGAACTACATCCTCAGCCCTTTTTGTTTTTTTTATGTTTGTTTGTTTGTTCGCTATGTAGTTCAAATTGGCTCAGAGTTCACAATGTAGTTCAGACTGGTCTGGAACTCAAGCGACCCTCCTGCCTCAGCCTCCCTGAGTGGTGGAGCTGCTGGTGTGGCATAAAAGGCATTCTTCAATAACTCATGCCCAGTTCATGATTATGGCAAAAATGGCTCTTCCCCCCGCCCCCTGCACATTTGGGTTTGGGACTTCTAGGTGACCATTTTGTTTTAAATAGAAATAAGAAGGAATGGCTTGCAGGGTAAGAGGAAAAGCAGGAGGCTGCTGAGACGAGCAGAGAGTTTGTAGGAGACAGGTGGAAGTGTGTGTTGCATTTAGCAACAAGAAAAACAGGATGGGAAAAGAAGGAAACCTGGAACATATGTGGAGGATAAAACAATAAAAAATATACCGGCAGGCATGGTGGTGCACTCATGTAATCCAGCACTCAGGAGGCTGAGGCAGGAGGATTGCAGTGAGTTCAAGGCCTGCCTGGATTACATAGGGAGACCCTGTCTGAACCTCCCCCCAAAATAGTAATAGCAAGCACCGGAAGTAGAGCTGTTCTGGGCCTGTAAAGTGCACTAATTCATTTGATTCTCATCACAGCCCTGCAAGAAGGGACTGGTTTTAGCCATACTGCAGATGGCTTAGCAAAGGCAAAGAATTTCAGAAACCCCTGGCCCAAGACGGGCAGGTGGCACTGACCTGTAATCCAAGCACTTGGGAGGCTGAGACAGGAGAATCACTGTGACTTTGAGGCCAGCCTGAACTACATAGCAAGACCTTGTATCAAAAACTGAAACTAAGCCAGGTGTGGTGGCACATGCCTGTAATCCCAGCACTCTGGAGGCTGAGGCAGGAGGATCCCAAACTCAATCCCAGTCTGAGCAATTTGGCAAGATCCTGCCTCAAAATAAAATAAGAGGGGTCGGGCTGGTGGTGCACACCTGTAATCCAGTACCCAGGAGGGTGAGGCAGGAGGATCTCTTCAAGTTTGAAGCAGGGGGCTGGGGGTTTAGCTCATTGGCACCACACCTGCCTCACAAGTGCAAGGTCCTGAGTTCAATCCGTGGTACTAGAAAAATAAAACAAAACAAAAAAATTGTGAAGCAGGCTTGGGATACACAGTGAGTTCAAGGCCAGCCTGAATTATATAGTGAGACACTGTCTCCAAAAACCAAACGTGGGGTGCTAGAATATACGAAGGCCTGGGGTTCAGACTCCAGTACCAAAAAAAAAAGTCCATAAGGCAGGCATGGTGGGCCACACTTGTAATCCCGGCTACTCAGGAGGCTGAGTCAGGAGGGTCTTGAGTTCAAGGTCAGCCTGAGCAACTGAGCGTGTCTCTGTCTCAGAAAAACCAAAAGAAAGAAAAGTCCAACTCAGTGAGACTTGCTGGCGGGAATGTAAAATGGCACCTCTGTGGAAACTGCAGTAAGTTCACACAAGGTTTCCCTCTAGCCCCACAAGTCTTCCCCAGCATGCATCTGAAAAGACAAAACATCAGCAGAGTTTTGACATGCGCACTCATAGCAGCAACTGACATAGTAGGCAACTGACAGAAACCACCCAGATAGCCGAAGACCGAGGGAAGGACAGAATACAGTGGAGTAGCGTTCAGCTAGAAGAAGGAACAGTGTGGGTGTGGCGTCCCATGCCTGTGATCCCAGCTACTTAGGAAACTGAGACAGGAGAATCAAAACTTCCAGGCCAGCCTGGGCAATTGAACAAAACTGAAAAAAAATTATTTTAAAAGGGTTAGGGATGCAGCTTAACGGTAGAATACCCCTAGATCTGATCCCCAGTACTGGTAGAAAGAAAACAGCAAAATCCTAATGTATGTTCTATAACATGGATGCACCTGAAAAACATTATGCTAAGTGAAAGAGGCCAGTCTCAAAAAGAAATCCATTATGGGCCGGGGATTTAGCTCATCTGTGCCGCTGCCTGCCTCCCAAGCACAAGGACCGAGTTCAATCCCCAGTACCAAAAAAAACCACAAAAAAACAGGGCCAGGTATTTAGCTCAGTGGTTCCGCCTCCTGCCCTGAAAGTGCAAGGACTTGAGTTTGAGCTCCAGAACCAAAAAAAAAAAAGCACATTAGGTGATCTCTTTTGTTCTTCATACGGGGGATCAAACCAGGACCTTGCACATGCGAGGCAGGCACGGTGCGGCTGAGCTCCATCCCCAGCCCTATGTGATCATATTTCCATGAAGTGTACAGAGGTAAATCCAGAGACAGAAAGCAGATTCCTGGTTGCCAGGTGGGGATGGAGCTATGTACTGAGCACAGGCTGCCTTTGGGACGCTGGCAGATAGAAGTGATGATTGCACGACTCTGTGGATGTACTACAGGCCACTGAACCAATTTTGTTTATTTGCTTGTTTGTGGGACTAGGGATTGAACATAGGGCCTTGGTACCGAGATGTATCTCCAGCCCTTAAAAAAATTTTTTTTAAATTTTATAACAACAGAATCTTGGCAATCTTTCTATCTGTCCTAGAGTACTGCGAATATGTGTGTGTGACCATGCCTGCTAAATTGTAGTCTTTAAAAGGATTAGAATAGTGAATTTTGCCACACTAAAGAGGGCACCAGGGAGGCTGGTGTGTGGCTCACTCATAGAGCAGGGGGCCCTGGGATCAGCGGATGAAAAAGAAAAGGAAGAATTAGCAGATGTGGTGAAGGGGTACAAGTATCTCCACCAAGAAGACTGGATAGGGACCGAGCTGTCCCGGCTGTGTCACAAGCCCTCTTCCAAACTGTCCCCTCCCCCAGGCCTGGCTGGACACCCAGGACCGCCTCTTGGGCCACTATGTAAATGGGAAGTGGCTAAAGCCGGAACACAGGAATTCAGTGCCTTGCCAGGACCCTGTCACAGGTACAAGATACCCCACCCCAGGAGGGACATTGAAATCTTCCAGCTGTGCCCACCCCATTCCTTTTGTGGGGGCGGCCCTGGGGCAGGGAGAGGCCAGTGGTCAGAGAGGGGCCAAGGTTTCCAGTTTCTCCTGATGATAGTCATCCCAACTCCAGTTCCGAAAACTTGAGGAGGCTTCTTGACACTCTTAGCTACTAAAATCCCTTGTGTGCCCTGGTAATCCCAGGGGTGAGCAGAGACAAACGGAGGAGCTGGGGACCAGCCTTCCTGCCTTCAGTCGCTGCCAACCTCTGGGAATCTTAGCCCATCTCCCTTCCCACCTGGGACCCTCATTTTTCTCCCCAGGAGAGAATTTGGCCAGTTGCCTCCTGGCAGAGCCCGATGATGTGGCTGCAGCAGTGGAGGCCGCCTCAGATGCACTGGGAAGCTGGAGTGGAGTCCCCGGAGGCGAGCGGGCCCAGCACCTGACCAGGTGATACAGCAGGAGGTGTGGCCCCAGAATGTGGCCGTGGTGACTCCATGACTCCAGGAGCCCACTGAATTAATTCACAGCCAAGAGCTGGGCATGGTGGCGCACGCCTGTAATCCCAGCACTCCGGAAGCTGAGGCAGGAGGATCGCTGTCAATTCGAGACCAGCCTGGGCTACATAGTGAGTTCCAGGTCAGTCTCAACCACATAGTGAGACCCTGTCTCAAAAAAAAAAAAAATTTCACAGCCAAGGTTCATGGTGTCCAGGACACCCATTTCCCATGATTCCCTGAGATGGGAAATGAAAATGCATCTCTTTTTTAAAATTTTTTTTTTTTTTTTTTTTTTTGGTATCAGGGATTGAACTCGGGTCCTTGCGCTTGCAAGGCAGGCCACCGAACCCCTGAGCTAAATCCCCGGCCCTGTTTCTTAAAATTTCCACAGGAATCAATAAGGCTCCATTTCTCAGCAGTTCATTTGGGTTGGTGTACTCCCAGACTTGTTCCCTAACACACTTTGGGGGCAACTAGGGACAAGGATTCCATTGCCCCAAATGCAGTTGAGTTTAGAGGCCAAGAGTCAAGTTCCCAATATCTGGGTGGCATGGAGGTTACTGGTAGCCAAGACGCTTATACAGCACACCCCCAGGGTTTGAGAAGTTTCCAGACTACATTTCCCATAAACCTTTGGCGTCCTATGCCTCTGGTAAAATGTAGAGGTGCCCCAGGGGCTGATGGGGATTATAGTCCTGGTAACCCTAGGAACAGCCTATCCCCTTGCTGTCTCCATAGGCTGGCCAAGATGATCCAGAAGCACCAGCAGCTTCTGTGGACCCTGGATTCCCTGGCCACTGGGCGGGCTGTGCGGGAGGTTCGCAATGGGGACGTCCCGCTGGCCCAGCAGCTGCTGCGATACCATGCAGTCCAGGCCCATGTCCAGGAGGAGGTGCTGCCCGGCTGGAAGCCCATGGGTAAGGACCCAAGTCCCGGACCCAGCCACCTCTTTCAGAATCCAGCGTGGCAGCCCCATTACTTCCATTCTTTCCTCACAGGAGTTATTGGCCTCATCCTACCACCCACGTTCTCCTTCCTGGAGATGATGTGGAGGATTTGCCCTGCCCTGGCAGTGGGTAAATGATGGCTGGGATCCTGACTCTTGGATCTTGAAGAGGAGGAGGTTGGAGGCCCAGAGTTCCAGGTCTAGGGACGAGGCTGGGCCTGGACCCCTGGGTCCGAGGGAGGAGGCTGGGGCTTAGACCTCTGGGTCTTTGAGTTGTCCCCCTTCCCTAGGCTGCACCGTGGTGACCATTGTACCCCCGGACTCCCCAACGCCCCTCCTCCTGGCCCAGCTGGCAGGGAGCCTCGGTGCCTTCTGTGGAATCCTCAATGTGGTCACTGGCCCTGCCTCCCTGGGGGCCGTTCTGGGCCACTGTCCCGGAGTGCAGAAGGTGGTCTTCTGTGGAGCTGCAGAGGTACCCTCAGGCTGGGATGGGGGTGGACGGGGCTGGGCCCTTGGCTCCTGCACGGCTGAGCCCTGTGGGTCCCTCAGGAGGCACGTGTCCTGCGGCAGAGCCTAGCAGGCCACTGGCTGGAGCTGAGCCTAGCTCTGGGCATGGAGTCGCTGCTGCTGCTGTTGGACTCAGCTGATGTGGACTCGGCCGTGGAGGGCATTGTGGATGCAGCCTGGTCTGACCGCAGCCCGGTGAGACACCACACACACACACACACACACACACACACACACACACACACACA